CTTCTGCTAGTAAATCTCACAACATTGTGAGGGCCCCTACTACTGAATCCCATTGGGGTCCTTAGCTCTTAGAGTTGTTAGCACCGGGCTTCCAACAATCCAGCAATTATAGTTCCGGTTTTCCTGCCCCAGCATTGGTTCCCACAGGGATTCTCTCTGTCCTGGGAAGCTGCATTCCCAGTGATTGCCTGTTGGTCTCTCCAGTTGCAGGGGGGTGGAGGGGGGCAGGCGGGGGAGGGCAGTAGTTTTCCCTGAGTTTCTGGTTTTTCAGTCTTTTCAGCTTATTACTTGTGAGGACAGAGTGGTAATTTCCAAGTTCCTTACGTGCGGAACCAGAAATCAGAAGTCAGTACGTTGAAACTCAAACTTGCTCTTTTGTCTCCTTACCACAAAGTATGATGAGGATTTGTTGAAACATTTATATTTTATTATAATATACCTTAAGCACATCGAACTCTCTGAAAGCTTGTAGGTTTTATCATTTTTGAGAATCCATATGGAGAAATGACATTCATAACGTTATTACAGTTTTACCTTATAATCACACTATTTTATTTGAGAAAACTTTAATCTACAAGTAGCGAATGGGCACAGAAAACACTGAATTCGTTTGAGGAACCAGGAGAAGTTAAATTGGTGGATACTGTTAAAACTCAGTTGATTGTGTAACTTCATGTTCAAAATACAGGTTCTCATCACATGTGGAATGTCTTTCAGATCCGAGCTCTTTTGTTACCTTTGATAAAAATTGAAATTACATCATCTGGAAATCTGAACTGTTAAAAATCCTCCTTTGGGGCCTTTAAATTTGTTTGGTTTTGTCTGAAAGGGAGTTTAAACATGGATATAAAAGGGGTTCATCAGTGTTTTCTGTCCTTGCAGAGTGAAATTCAAAATTCCTATAGGTGGGAAATGCCTATAGGATAGAGATCTTCAGATGTTCAGCTTGTCAGAAATGTAGAAACTTTACCAAATTTACATACTGCCTCATCTTTTAAACCCAGCTGCAACCCAAAGAGACTGCAGGACTCAGCATGTAGTTACTTTTTACCATCCTCTCATCTCTGTGGCCAGGACCTTGAGATTAATGACGAGGTGGACTTGAAGACACCTCGTACTGTTCTCGGGGAGATATTTGCCATATTCATTGTACTTTGGCCACCCTCATTCCAAGTTCATCACACAACTTGTTTGACATGTTTACTTTTTGAACACTTGGAGAATTAGCAGGTGGTTGCATGACTGAGATGTTTAACAGGCGAAAAAATGGGAGGTAATTTTGACACACACTATGATGCAATAGGAAACTACCTAACTATTCCATTTTTGGCTCAGCTTTTCGTTTCAGTTAAAACTGCTGACAGCAAGGCTCAACAGGTCTTGTAGCTTCGTATTGTTAACATTGTCTGCACGTGAGGAACTGGCTCACTAGCAATAATGGCCATGCTTTAGCTACTCGTACACAAAACCTTCTCCTTGGCTTTAGTGCTAGAACTTAGTAAAGGGTCTCTTCTCAGAGTTTCTGCCATCCGCAGTTACACTGTGAATACAGAAGGCTCTAAAAGCCCTACAGCTATCTCAACATGCTCTAGAAAACAACTTGTAACATTCTCTGTCTGAATATAGAATGCTCAGAAGGCAAAATCCTACAAATAAGACAGCAAGACAGCTAATTCTTATTTTCCTTGATATGTTCATCCTGATGTGTCAGGATATCCATTAGGGTTGATTCTTGAGCTGTCTTCATTCAGTGAGCAGAAGAAACAAGGAATTTTACTGGACAGTTAGTTGTTCATTTGATTTGGGGGTCAAGGGACTATTGCCAGAAGTGGCCATGGTCAGAGATAGAGATTCTAGGTGAGAGATGGCTGACTTTTTCCGTAAAGGGCCGGATAGTAAATACTTTAGGATTTATGGACTATAGGGTCTCTGTTGCAACCACTCAACTTCTGCTCTTGTAGTGTGAAAGCAGCCATAGATAATACATAAGAAAATGAGAGTGGCTGTGTTTCAATACAATTTCATTTACAAAAATGGGCAATAGGCTGGATTGGCCCACGGGCTATCATTTGTCAGTCCCTATTCTGGATCCCAGAAGATACAGTTCTGGGCTATATGACTCTGACCTCACAGGAAAAATAGCAATGGTGTTCAGTTAACTGGACTAGTAACATATAACCTTCAGTATTCATAGCCAAGACTTTACTTCAGTTGTATATAATAAATTTTTTGTCAGAAAAAAAGGGGATTCTTTCCTCACTATATTCTTTTGGGGCTTAGTCTGAATAGTGTTATTTGCTTTTTATTTACACCCTACTTTCTTCCCAAAATAATAGAAGGTATATTTAGATTTTAGCTATCAAAATAAAGATATAAAATCCAAACGCACATAAAAAGGTCACATAAAAGAACCTCTGAATATTCCTTATCCACCTGCCAACTCAAGCTGGTAACTCAACCATTTTAGGGACTGATTGGTCCTTGGGACACCTCCTAAGTTGAATACTGATATGCTGCCTATTTTATCTTCTCAAGCATAATTTCCTTTCTGAAAATAAAATTTCCCCAGTGTTTTATATTGTCTCTTACCAAAGGAAGTGTTAATATCCGTCATTTTTCTTCTGATTGAAGTATAAGCCAAGAACTGTTAAAGTGGGTGTGTGGAAAGGAAACAGAAAATTATAAGCTAATGAAAACTTTGACGGGCAAGTAACCTGTTCAGAACAGATTCCAGGGCTCATAGAGTCAGGGGACTGTTTCCAAACTGTTATAGATACATCTCTGCTCTCTAGAGAAAAGGAGTGTTTGATTACTTTCGAGCCCAGTGGTCAGAAGCCCAGCTCAGAGCTGGACAGAAGAGGTAGGAATTTTAGCTTAGCTGCAGGGAGAGGTGACTGTTAGTGGGTGTCAGAATGTGGAAACAGGCCAAGTGAGTTGATGGACTGCTAACTGGAATTGTGGCTCCAAAGACAGTTCTGAAGTAGGGAACTAATCTTTGGGAAAACTGTGAGTGTATACAAATGACTCTAACACAAGGTCCTAACTCATATCAGCTCTGACTGCTGAGCCAAGTAGCTGCCCAAGGTCATATAGAACCTATGCCGGGGATCTGCTTAGACCTGTGGCATAGGGGAGGTGTGACAGATGTGCTCATGAGGAGGCTGGAGTTTAAAGAAGGAAACACTTCCCTAGGAAACGTGGGTACCAGGCAAGCATTAACAACATCAGAGTAGAACCCGGAACAAGCTGCAGCATTAAGGACAAACAGACTACTCTCATGACAGAATTTTAAGATGTGGTAGTGGGCTAACTCTATGATGTATAAAAAATAAATACAAGAAATAAATTCTATCTTTTTTTTT